TAATTATAACAATACAAACAATCATTATTATTAAGATAACAATAACAACAATAATGATAATAACAAAGTCAATGATAATAGCAATGGTAGTGAAGAAAAAAAAAAAAACAGAAATAACAATAAAGCATAAGGAATCCCTTACTTGATAGTATCATAGCGAGATTCGATCCTAATGTAGTAGAATTGGCTGATGAGGCGTTCCACAGGGTCCCTCACTATGGCCACCCAGGATATTTGAGGGAAGCCCAGTCTGCGGAGTTAAGGGGAGAGAGTGAGGGGAAAAAGGCGAAGGAGAGAGAGAGAGGTGGGGAAGGGAAGAAGGAGAGGGAGTTGAGAGGGGATAGAGGGTAAGGGTGAGGAGATAAGGAGAGGGAGTGAGAGGGGAGGAGAGGGAGAGAGAGGAGGACAAAGAGAGAGAGAGGAAAGAAAGGGCGAGGAAGTGAAAAGGACAAGAAATTAATTATCGGAAAAGGGAAAGGAAAGGTGGGGAGAGGGTAAGGGTGAGGGAAGAAGGAGAGGGAGTGAGAGGGGAGGAGAGGGAGAGAGGGGAGGACAAAGAGAGAGAGAGGAAAGAAAAGGCGAGGAAGTGAAAAGGACAAGAAATTGATTATCGGAAAAAAGGGGAATGAAATGATTTTGTGGGAAGGAAAATGATCAAGAAAAAAGTTGAGAGAGACACGAGGGAAAATGTGAAAGAAAGAGAATGAAAAAATAAAGGGGAGAGATGAAAGAAGACGAAAGAGGGAAAAGGGAAATATAGAAAGAAAATTAAATAAAACGAATGGGAAGAGGAGAAGCTGAGGAATGGAGTGAGAGAGAGAAAGGGGAGAAATGAGATAAAAGAGAGAACAGGAGTAATGCGAAGGAGAGTATGAGAAAGCGAAATGAAAGAAATGAATGGGAAGAGAAGTTGGGGGATAAGGGAAAGAGAAAGAGAGAGAGACAGAGACAGAGACAGACAGAGAGAGAGAGAGACAGAGACAGAGAGAAAAGAAAGTAAATAGGAAACCCAAGAGGAAGTAGGAATGGGAAAAGACAGAAGAGGAGAAATGAAAAGGAACAGATAAGAAAGCTAGTAGCCGGGGGCATGGAAGAAGAAAAGAGGATAGACAAAAGAGAGGAACAAGAGAAAAGGTGGAAAACAGAAAAAAGTACGTTAGAAGATTTTGTGGAAAGAGAAAATTCAATATATGGGAGACGAGAGAATAGGAGAGAGACTGAAAAAAATTGAGAGGGAGAGATGTACAAAAAGAACATAAGACAAAAAAGCAAAGAGAACGAAAAATAGACAGAGGGGATGAAAAGAAATGTTAAAGAAAACAGTAAAAAGACAATAGAGAAAAGAGGTGACTCAAGGAATGTTAGTAAATTGAGATAGAAAAAAAATAGTATTATAAAGGACATAGATTTTTTTTATGTGATAGGAGAATAACGAATAAAGGTGAAGAGATATGAAAGAAAAATGGAATAAAGACAGGAAAATGAGAGAAGAACAGGGGATATAAATAAGAAAAGGACAGAAGGAATCATAAGAAAAGAGATGAACAGAAAACAAAAAGTGAGGAATATATGAAGAGGAAAATAAAAAAAAGACAAGAAAATGAACACAAACTAAATAGAAAAACAGATCAATAAGATACAAAAAAAATAGAGCGAAGGGGGAAAAGAGAGGGATAGAGAGACAGGCAGACAGCTAAGGGAAAGACAGAGAAAAGCCAAACAGACAGACACACAGAAACAAAAAGGAAACAAAATAGGAGAGAAAAATACCAAGAGGAAAGCAAACCCACACACAAACGACTTACTTAATGTTATCCATATAGAAGAGGTGTCTGACGTAGGCCACGGGTACCTTCAGGGCATGAGTCATCAGATTCTTCAGCAGAATCTCGCGCTGTTGTTCTGCTAATCGAGGCTGAATGCGTATCTGGGGCACCATTGCCGTGAAACGATTTAGTGAACTTAAACTGCAGGAGAAAGAATGCAGTTAAGGGCAAAAACGTTGTGAAAAAAACGATATCAAAAGTTGATGGTAGGAAGTGAGTAAATGTGTTTCCTTATCAAAATCTATGATAGGCAATATTTTTTTTTTTATTCTCAGGGTACCGCGGCCTTGAAACGATTTATTGACCTTAATCTGTATGAGGAAGGATAAAGCTTAGAGTATTAATGTGGTGAAAAATGAATTAATAATACTGGCCTTGGACTCGAGCTGCAGGAAATCTCAGAAAATTAAAAACTGGCAACTCACACCGTTTTAGGAGACACTCTTCTTTTTATTGATATTTTTGGACTAAAGTTATTCCTTTTTTATTCTAATCAGCTGACAGTTATGACTGATATTTGCATATGATTGGATCTGTTTTTTTTACTTAAATAGATTCTGTAGTGTGTGTATGCGTTTGTCTGTGTTTGTTTGTTTATTTGTGTATATGTGTGTGTGTCAGATAATGCACATGATACCCACGTTTTGAAGAGCCTGGCCGTGGTAGAAGAGCCGCACTTGGGCACGGCGCTGAAGATCACCAAGCGGGTTTCGGGCATGGTCACGTTCTTGCTTGAGGGCACGATGTCCTCAGCCGCCGCTTCCCTTTCGTCGCTTTCTGCGGGCTGGGCGGCTCCTCCTTCAGGGAACTTGTTGAAAGGGTTCTCGCCCAAGCCGCCGTTTTCATTCGCCGGGTCCCTGGGCTGACCTGGTGCTCCAGCGACCTGAACTGGAGGCTGACCTGGTGCTCCAGCGACCTGAACTGGAGGCTGACCTGGTGCTCCAGCGACCTGAACTGGAGGCTGACCTGGTGCTCCAGCGACCTGAACTGGAGGCTGACCTGGTGCTCCAGCGACCTGAACCGGAGGCTGACCTGGTGCCCCGAGAGCCTGGTTTCCTGGAACTTGCACGGGTTGACCGACCGGTTGACCTGGAAGAATTCCTGACTGACCCTGGACGCCTTTCGCCTGGCCTGGCATGGCTGGTGGCTGAGCTGGGGCGCTACCGGGGAGCTGACCTGGAAGCACAGCGGGCTGGCCAGGGAGCTGCCCTTGTAAGCCAATGTTTTGTCCAGGATACCGAATTAGAACAGGCTGTCCCGGAGCGCCAACAGGCTGACCAGGAACTCCAACAGGCTGTCCCAGACCGCCAACAGGCTGACCAGGATTGCCAACAGGCTGTCCGGGAACGCCAACAGGCTGTCCCGGCAGGCCGAAATGGGCCGGCTGGTCCCCATAGAGCTTGGCGTTGAGGAACCAGCCGGTTTTGCGTGCGCTCCATCCGTAGATCTTCGTGAAGAGGCCGTACCTTCCGTCGATCGTCTTCAAGGCCTTGTCCTCGTATTTCAAGACGACGTCATCGGAACGCACGTCGTTGGCTTCATCCGGAACAGCGCCATCTGTTTACGGGAAAATCAGTATTGATGGAGTATGACCTCGAAGGCATCGGATTATTTGTAGAATAACACAAGGAGGGTGAGAAGACCCACAGTCTGTTACTTCTCCACAAGCACTGAATCCGTTGGCCTTGTTAAGAGTTTTATGAAGAAATCGGAGCAGATAAGAAAAGTAAAAGTTAAAAAAAAAATGCTTGTAAGAGGAAAAAGAAGCTGCTTTCAAACCCTAAAACGAAGAAAGAAAAAGAGTTCGTGAAAAGGCAGATTCCAAAAACTCAGCAAAACTGTAATTTGTGATAAAGCAGCGCCAAAGCCCGGATTACAGGTTAAGCTCCCAGCAGGTCCAAGAAATGTCCAAGAGGCTGACCTGGCAGCTGACCTGGAAGAGCAAGTGACATCATAGGAATAGGTTCCTGCACAGGAAGTGGTCTCCTGTAGAGCTGTCTGTAGGGATGTCCAGCGGCCTGTTCTCCACCGTAGATCTTCCGGAAAAGGTCATATCGGCCTTCGGGAGACTGCAGTTCTTCTAGGTCATAGTGCAGGAGAGCGTCGTCCGAAGAAAGGCCTCTGGCGACGACTACGGCTTCGTCTTCTGCAAAATGGGAGGGAGAAAGAGTTCGAACGTTTAATTTGAGACGTTTTCCGCAACAGGTCGTTAAAGTCGATTGATCGTTAATTCAGCAGAGAGAGATACGACCACGTCACATCTGCAACATACGGCATTGCCTCTTCTTTAATTAATGAATTCTTTAATCCTAATGAGTAAGCCGGTAATGAGGTTAGTAAGCTCAAAGCTTTTTTTTCGGAGGGTAGAAGTCAAGTGCAATTTGACTTAAATTTTTGTTTTAAGTGAACATAAATGAATAATGGTGATATCTCATTATTATTATTAGTATTATTATTATCATTAATATTATTATCATTATTATTATTATTATTATTGTTATCATTATTATTATTATTATTATTATTATATATTGTTGATTATTATTCATAAATACATCATTATGGGAAAAATAAGCATAATAATGATGATGTTATTGCTTTCTCCAGGAATTCACATGGGAAATTATTTCGAATATTGTTGTGTAAACGATTCCGACGTTTAGGGAACTGAAATTCAACCTATGTTAAGAGGTTTTAACCAGAAACTTCTGATTGTTCACGATAGAATTTTGAGTTTCAGAGATTTACAGTTCTGCAGATTTATGGAGTTTATATTACAGAAACATGCACGTCTGCACACTTACTAATACACATACAGACACACATAAATAAACATGCATATATACACACACTCACATATACGCACACAGAAACACACACATACAATATATATGTGTGTATATATATATATGTGTGTGTGTGTGTATGTACACATATTTTTTTTTCGGTTTTCAATTTAATTTGTATTTTCATAATTCTATTTTCATATAACTATGTGGTTTTGATAACAATTCACAAATGACAGCAGTAATAATATTAACGTAATTCAGCGATTTGCTTGCAGGTTCTTCATAAATAACTGTATATTGTGTAGATTTAAGATATGCATTTCCTCAAGTTATATCAATTCGTATGCTTTTTCTTTATTATTATAGAGTTCCTTTTCACTATAATTGTTCTTTATCGTTATCGACATATTTTTATCCTCGTGACCATAATATCAACGTAATTCTGTAGATAAATGGGACCATCTATTTTTCCGTAGATATTACATTTATATATATTCAGTTATTTTGTCGTATATTATTCATACAATACTTAACATAGTAAATTCTTTATTTCAAATAATTGTGATTCGATTATTTAATTTATCGGTCATAGTGTGTTTATTTTCCATGCATTTATTTTGCTATTATGAGCTTTCCCTATATTCAGCAGAATACTCGGATATAAACCTAAAATCTCAGCTCGGTTAAATAGTCAACGCCCGCGACTAGAAAATACATTCTATTTATTAGTATTTCTATCTTTATTCAAATTATGTCTGTGTTAGCAGTTGATTTCATTTCAGCTACTACGATTTAGTTTAATTCGTGATTTTTGTTATCATAATTCATCAATTCTTGAGAAATTGCCATGCGAACTATTTTCTTTTCCTCTCTCATGAAAATCGATAAGATACTGACCGACTTTCACATTTTCATTAATTATGCTACGTCGCGAACATCCTTTCATCAGTATTACATGGTCCTTGTAACGATCCCAGGCTGCTGTCCCTACACGTGTCCAGATGCACATTAATCGCACAGCTTGCTCTGCAAGCTTTGTTTGTTCCGTGACAGATTCTCATCTTTTCATTAATTTCACACACTGAAAGTAGTATCACTTTTTGTGATTTCGCATAGTAGTTGATTTAATGTTACCATAATTCTGAATGTTCTTTTCATGCAGTCAGATTAGTATCGCCTTGCGACGACATGACAGGAGGAGCGCCTTCGTTGTTCACGTCGACACCAACGGCCATCTCCCTAAGTGCTCCCAGGCCTCCATCATAAAACAAGGCTTGCACCCAGAAGATGGTAGAAACAGCATACATACACTCTATTAACAACTTCAACACAGCAACGGGGAGCCACAAACTAGCCAAGGTCGTCGCTCACCTGATCACCGTCGCTCACCTGATCTTGTTCCGTATGCCCTGATGAAGCAGTAAATGCGAAAAGGCCTTCGGCATATTCGTGTGTTTTCCTGCACTTCCCTTCATTGTTCTAGTTGTAATTTGTTCGACATGAATTCCACATGCACACACACTTATATATATGTGTGTGTGTGTGTGTAATGATACACACATTATTGATACTATTATTATTATCGTTATTATTATTGTCACATCCCTAGTATCATTATCATATATATATAAATATATGTGTGTGTGTGTGTGTGTGTGTGCATGAACATATATGTATATCTTAACGTCTATAAATGTATCAGCTATATTTACACCAATATAAAACGTATCTATAATGATATCTTTATCTACCTACTTGTTATCATTATTATTATCATAATCATTGTCAGTGTTTTTATTATCATTATTATTATTATTATTTGTAAATATCACTGACTATGACAAACGACTAAAAGGGAACACCAGAGGCGCCCCCCACCCTCTTTTCCCCTCACCTTTCTGGGCCAGATCGGCGCTCGAGAGGAAGAGGCCGCTGAAGATGACCCACATGGCGATGAAGACGAAAGCAGACACGGCGAGTCTCTTGAGCAGCCTCGGCAGCACCAGCGGAGGAAGCCATGAAGCCCTTGTAGAGAGCAGCCAGTTGCCGTAAGAGATGCCCTTCGCTAGCAGCTTCCTCAGCAGGGACTGGCTCCGAGCCAGGCGACCTGTCACACCTCCCTTCTTCGTAGGGAAACGCTGCTTGGGGTTCGCGAGACTCCCGCGCCGGCTGACGAAGTAGCGCGGCCGGTTGAGCCAGTCGTGGAGGTCATCGTGATACTCGAGGGGCGCAATCTTGAAGGCCGAAGGAAGGGGCGTCGTGAGGTAAAAGGAAGGGGCGTCGGGAGGTGAAAAGGAGCGTCGTGAGGTAAATGGATGGGGCGTCGGGAGGCGAAAGGAAGGGACGTCGGGAGTGAAGAGCAGCGTCCGGAAGCAAGAGGAACAGGGGAGAGGAGGAAGGGTGCGTGGGGGCGAGAAGAAGGAATGTGAGGAAGCGAAAAGGAGCGTCAGAAGGCGAGGGGAACGGCGTGAGGAGACGAAAATGCCGTCGTCAGGAGGAAGGGTGCGAGGAGGCGAGCCTGCAGGCCAGCTGAGACGGCGCCGGAAACGAGACGCAAATACTTTAGAGGAAGCAAAGGGAGTGGAAACCGATAGGTAATGAGAGCGCCAGGTGTGGAGACACTTGCCTTGGGTGGTTCGTCTTCTCTGTAGTTGTTCTTATTTATCTCTGTGTTTTGCATGAACCTAAATCTGTCTCTTACTCTCTGTCTGCCTGTCTGTCTTTCTGTCTCTCTCTCTCTCTCTGTTTATATACGCGTATAGATAGATAGATAGATAGATAGATAGATAGATAGATAGATATTTACATACCTACATATTTTTCTATTAATACATTCATGAAACATCTTTCGCAATTACTTCTGGTACCTCATTACCCATTACCAT